AGAAGCTCATGAAAAATTGCTTCTTCCAATTTGTGGGTCATCCTTTGGAACAGTGCCTTTTTATGGCCAGTTACTGGGGTGCTTTCAGTCATTTCTTCCAAGATACATTTTCACCCCTCACTGCGTTGGCTCTCTGTGCTATCATTGCTATTAGTTATGTTTCAGCCTTTTCACTTTTTTCTTTTTGGATGTGAAATTCAATTGCAATAAGCCACTCAGTCAGTCACTGCTTAGCAGAACAAGGATGCTTTACTCTGATAGCAAGATATCAGCAAATTCCTGCTGCTTTAAGGGAAAACAGTGTGCTTTATGATGTGGGAGAAATGCAGAAAAGTTTTCTTAAAGAGATTTCTTATATTTTTATGAAGGATCTGTAATGAGAGGAAAAATGCTTTTTTAGCTCATGGCTCTAGAGCACGTCATGTATGTTCAAATTTGCATTTCCCATGGTAAGGGTTAGGTGCTGCTAAACGTCTTGCAAGAACTTTCTTTTCCCAGAAGTTTTCTGGTTTTGCTTGCCATTCATACGTGTGTGCCACTGAATATCAGGGAAGAATTCCAAGGCTTTTTGCATTCTGTCTTGCAGTACTGAATATTTTAAACCAGCCTATAAAGCAGCTGTACTGTCCCAGTCTCACAAGTCATCTTCCACTAAGTGTTGTGGGCACAAGGGTATTTGCTGGGCTTATGGGGCATTAAAGATTTCTGCAAACTTTTTACTAGTATATATAAAATTAACGTTCTGCTTTTAAATTACTTTTTTGTATTGCTTACACAGTCATGCCAGCTTGAAAACAAAGCTGTATTGTGGTGAATTCAGCTCCCACAGACTGAGGCAGATTTGATTTAAATAACATGAATTATATCCTGTCCTCCCTCCAATCTAAGACTGGGTTGGGGAAAAAAGTAACCTTTAGAAGGAGTACAGCTCAATAAAAGGAAAGCAGTCTGCCTCTAGGTGTGTCTGGTACTGGAGGATCTTACTGGTGTGTTGGAGCTGTAACTCCAACCAGGTACAGGCTTCCTTACTGATAAGAAACTCGTGGTTTGGAGAAACCTGTTTTTAGGCAGGCCTTGGCTTCCTAGATTAGTCATATGACATTTGGAGTGTAGGATCTCTAGTCTTTAGTACAACTTTCTCTCCATCCGCTTTGCTCTTAACATATGCAATGTCCTGAAAAGAGTTTGTCTCTTGTAGAGAAAAAAACCAGATGCAATAAATGAGGGTTTTCTTGGAGTCAGAATAGAATTTTTGAGACCAGAGAGCCTGAGATGCTGGGGAGCTGAATCTAAAAGGCATTTGTAACCCTATATTCAAAGCTGAAAAAATTATATTGGCATGGTTTTTGTGTATGTTTTGTTTTGATGTTTTTTTAAGCCAAGGAAGTGTGGAAAAATACATTAGTGTTATTGATTTGGATCTGTAGAAAGTCATAAAGGAAAAAGGTTTGAGTTTCTATCAGAAACAATGCTTTGTTCCACCTTGTCAGCCTCTTCTATTTCAGGTTATCTGAGTAGCAACCTGATTCAGTGCTAAAAATCAAGGTCATATTTTATTCAGTACAAGAAAATGGAAAATCTGGCAAGAGCCAAGATAGTTGTTTTGAAATGGTTTTATTTAGCCCTTTCTGCTATAGCTGCTGTCAATGGAAAGAGATAAAGCTGATGACAGAATACAAGGAATTTACTGTTCATTATTCATGACTTGCTAAAGGTTTAGGTCTGTAAAGGATTTTGTTATTCTTTTCATGGGTCTTTCAGGTATGATTGCCTGGCAAGAAATTCGGTGAAGCAATTAAAGGAAAGATGCGTATTTTTCTTGAAAATACCAAGTTTCAAGAAAACTTGAACGGAATTTAATCTACAGAGTATTCATGGACAAATTCACTAGTTAAAATTGCAGTGTAGCAAGGTTATGTTCATGTTTAAATCTGTCATTATTTGAATAAACTGTAGACTTCTGTGTGTGGTGTGGTGGCATCTGACCTTACTGGCACCCACAGACCTAACTAGCTCTATTGTGAAGCCTTTAGTTTAAAAATAAAAATCTAAGTTACAAATTTAGAGCAGTTGTAGACCTAAATAGGAGGTGGAATGAATGAGTGAACCTTTAATGCAGGAAAAAAAAATGTCGAAGAGGAACAATTATCAGTACTGTTGTATTGTATTGTTTGTTCTTACAGTAGATTTGGGGTTTCTTGGCATAAATAGAAAATTAATAAACATTGCAAGAACTTGTGTTCCTTAAGAACTCCTTGATATCAACTGCAATGAATCAAAATGTCTGCCATGCTTTGTAATACTTTCAAATCTTCGTGGTGGTCTCGGCATTTTCATCTAGATTCTTACGAACCTGTGGCTTGGCTGTCTTTCCTCCTCCTGCTTAGGAAGGTTAATGTGTCCTTTCATTTAGGACTGCTATAGGTGCATATCAGGAGCATGAAGGTGAGAAGAGGGATCGTATTACAGGAGTGCATAACGTGACGATTCTGATTTAAACAGATGCTGTGGGGAAGGACAGAAAGAAGCAAAGTCAGATTTTTGCTTCTACTTTGCCGTTAAAACAAATGGAAGAAATTGCAGTTCTGATTCAAGATGTCAGTCTTCCAACTGAACAGTCTTCTTGAGTAAAAACTGATGCAGTTCTAGTTTTAGAGCACCAATGTTAAAAACTTACACCTGTACCTACTACAATATGTTCTGTACTTAAAACTGGACATGTGGACATGACAGTTTTACCTATTGTTCAATACTAAATTGCTTTTCCTGCAGTCTTCCCTGGAATCTGCATCTCAAATTGTGTTCCCTTTCCCAAGTATGCCAGTAATAAGTTGCTGCAGACTACCTTCTGCACTTACACACTCGCAACTTACTCTCAGTATACATCCACCACTATAAATCAGAAAAAGATTCAGTGCTTTAAAAGAATCTCTTGCAAATATTTTAGAGGCATAGTTATTCCTATAAACAAAACATGGTTATTCTTCTGTAGAGAAACATTTTCAGTTTACAAATAGAATACCATCCAAAATAGTGAGGTCTTAAAAGGAAGCTGTTAGATAACAGTATTTTTCATTACTTCAAGTTTGAGCCTGACAAAATTCAAGTTTCCTGTTGTAGATTTCCCCCCTCCTTTTCCCTCATAGAGGAGTTAAAAACAAAACAAAAACAAAGCCCCCAACCTGTTTACAAGTGACATGCTAGGGAGAAAATAGTGACCTTTCAAAGTAATTACTGTATTTTTGTTGCTTTGAAAGTGGCTCTAGTAAGATTGGCCCTTGCTGTGCATGTAAATTCCTTCTAAATTTTGTCTAACGAGCTTTAGTTAGTTACAGCGTTGTTTCTTTTTTTTTTTTGAAGGGGTGCAGAGGAAAGACCTTCAGTATGTATATGTTCAAGTATAAGTTTATCAAGTAAGTTTTTTCTGACAACTATTTAGCACTGATTTCCGTAAGAGAGGATATGACAATCTGGCAAAATGACTAGAGTTGGAAGGGACTTCTAAGCTGTAACCTCTCCTCCCACATGCTAACAAAGGTTAGACATGGGATGCAGAAAGGGCAGACTGAAACAAAAAATATGAAGGGGAGAGGGAGTAAAAGTGAGGAGTAGTTGAGAAGCTGAAACAAGGAAAAATTTGATTGAAGAGTTTAAAAGGCTAGGAAGAAGGTTTATTACTGACAAAAAATGCTGGAGGAGGGAGAGAAGTGTCATGAACCACTAACATCCGCGTATGGAAACTACAATCATGAATCTTAACATTATTTTGTTTAGGAGTGCCAGAGCATTTCTCAGCTTCTTACTGTCTCAATTACTGTCTGTTAGTGTTTACACATAAGAAGCCTTTTACTATTTCATCTTAATGATGTTACTCAAATTGTTAAGAGAACAAAACTTAAGCATCAAAATAGTGCTGCAAAACTTCAGTTAGTGCATAATGTCTAATTAGATTGTATCTTGATAGTTAAATTATAGGGATGCTGTTGCCATACACTTTTATAAAGGTTTAACTTTGATTGCAATGGCTTGTGTAAAATATTTATTTTAGAAAGTGTACCAAACCAGATTATATTTGTAGTAAGATCCTTATTTGGTTAGATTCTGGTTTATTATCTAAACTTCAATATGGGAATTGGCAAATTATTTCAAAGTAAAAACTAAATTATGGGGTCAACATACCTGATACTTTCCTAGTTTAGATCCGTATTTTACTTTCTCTTGCAAGCTGTAAGGTGTCCAAATGTCTGGCCTAATCATCAGATATCTGGGAATTACTAGGATGTGTGCTCTCTTCAGGTCAGGTCACATAGCCTGTCAGTCTTGTGTTTTTCTCCTTATAGAATTAGTATGTTTGAATTTTATGTATCCAGATAATTCTTCAGTGCAGAAATTTCCTCCTGTAGTGGTACAACAGTATTCTTGAAGTACTTTAACTTATATTATATACAATCGATTTATCTGAATGAAGTACTTTCTCTTTTCAAAGAGAGGGAATGAATTGAAATAATTATTTAAAGTTTGTTTTGTGATACATTGTATCATTTGTGTTGTTTTGTCATTTAAGGGGATTGGATTTAGTTTCCCAAGTAACAGACTACTGTATTGATCTTATATTTTTAATTTTAAAAACTTACCAAAATGTCTGCTGTAGAAGGAGATGATAATACATTTAAAAATATATAGATTTTTCATATGTTGAGTTATTCAGAGGTTGAACTACAGTCTCAATACTTTTAATTCATAAATTATCTAGGAGTTAAATTAGTAATTCAGAATGTATTAAAACTAGTTGTTTAGCTGTCTGTAACATTATGTTAATACCAGAACAAGACTGTGGTACAAAATACTTACGATTTTTGGTGATTAAGAATGAAGCAACAAGCATCATCTCCTCTAGGTGCACATTTTCTAAAACTACATGCTTTCAGGTGTGAAAGTTTATTTTAAGCATGTAAAAGTAGCAAAAAAAAAATCTTCTTTTTTCCTTCCTGTAATTACAGAAGCTGCTGGGTTTGTTTTGCTACTGATGAGGATGATCGGACAGCAGAGTGGGTGAGACCTTGCAGGTGCAGGGGCTCTACGAAATGGGTCCATCAGACTTGTCTACAGCGCTGGGTGGATGAAAAGCAAAGAGGAAACAGTACTGCTAGAGTTGCTTGTCCTCAGTGCAATGCAGAATATTTAATAGTATTTCCAAAGCTAGGTAAGATATGTATCATTTAAATTTTAAACATAATATAATGGGTTGTTTCTTTATATTGTTCCTACTTTTTTTTCCCTTTTTTGTGCTCGGAGCATCACTTCTGCTGAAAACTTGTCTAGTCCCTTTTCCAGACAAAGAAATAACTTTATATTCTGCTCGCGTCCTATTTGGTGGCTTAGTTAAATACCTTCTGAATATTTTGGATGTGTTCCACTTAGGTATATTGATAAGTCTTATAAGTGATTGACCTATAATTAATTCATGGTTAATGTGATTTTTTTTTCTTGTTGAGCAGAGGGTGACTTCTTTCAGCAATTGCCACATATTAGCACATAAATGCATCCCTTTTTTTTCCTCAGCTTGCACAGAAACTGTTATCAAAGGAAATTCAGAGAACCTTACTTGAGCAACCTGTTGCATTACCTGAAAAACATATTTTTACTTTGTTTGGGAGGTATTCCTGAGTCAATATTACCCTATATTCAAGAGGCAGAATATCTGTGGTTGCTGGGCACTGTTCTAGCTCTAGCTCTGTTTGTCAAGGTGAAAGAAAAAAGTTGGAGATGGTCTTCCAGAGTCTACTTACTTGAGTAGCCGAGTAGGACACTGCACAATATGTTGTGTATATTTAAATTAGCAGTGGTTGCTGTTATTCCAGCCCTCATTTGCCCATATCTTCTATGGGGTATATTAAGTAGGGCAAGAAAATGAAATGTTGCCATGGAAACTTAAATTTTGTTCAAAAGTAAAACTACTTGTTAAAGAAATGCTGATATAGCATGAGAGTACAGGCATTTAGAGGATTTTAAAGAAGATTTTTAAGTATCTTATTTCTGTGATGAAACAGCTAAAAATAACTTGTACTGTCAGTTCTTTGGGACAGGACCTCTTTTCTGTTAGTATAAGGGCTGACAAAATTAAGGTGTGAAGGGAATTTTATACGGGTGATGACACTTATTTCCATGATGGAACACTGAGTAATGGGAAAGAAAATATGGACTAGTGTATTGTTGATATTCAAGAAAACATAAACCAGCATGAAACTTACTACCAAGTTATTCATCTATCAACCACAATTCAGTTTCACTATAAGTCTAAGGTAGAGAGGAATCTTAATCTCCATCATGAAGAAGGCATCAAATGGTAACACTTAGCATTGGCTTTGGGGTAAAAAATAGTTTGATATCTGGACACTTACAATGTACCACAAAACTTGAAGCTGTTTAAAATTCTTATTTGTATCTTGAATGATGAAATTGTAATGTGAGCTGCATTTGCATTTTATTTTGGCAATGGGAAAAAGGGGAAGCATCTATAGTTTGGAGAGGATACATGCACATAAACAACAAAAGGCATTTCCATTTGTTCTTGCAATTTGTGGCATGCTTTATTTGAAAGCTAAGATTCCTAAATGCTAACATGTCTAGCTTCTGAAGCTGGCCTAAAATCCTTGCACGAGCTTGTTCAGCTCTTGCATGCAGGCTTGCAAGAATCTTTTGATGTATTTTCCCTCACAGTACCATCTTTTTCCATTTCTAAAGAGAAGGGCATAAAAATTCAGACTTGTGTAAGAGTACACAAGATATTGATAGTAGAGCAGGGAAATGAATTTGCTTCCATCAAACATCAATCACGAGGCTGAAGTGCCTTAAACAAGTGAGACAGTCTTGCCCTTTTGTAGCTCTTTCTAGTAACCCAAAACTGTTGTATTGCAGCTCAACTATAAGTCAGTCAAGGTCACACAGGCAGAGTTAGGACAGTAAGATGTTTTCAAGCAGTCTTGCCAGTAGCCCCATCTCTGCTGCAGCAGGTATCTTTTGAAGACATTACTAGTCATACCATTCAAGCAACTAAAATTACTTGAGCAGGGAAGAAGTAACAACTAAAGTTTCCCTGAGGTATCATAGTTCAGAAACTTATTTACATTAAGACTTCTCTAATGTACTGCTGGAAACTTTTTTTTCTAAAAATAAATTTCTGAGGTAGGGCACTCCATTCTTTTATGGTTATAGTTTTGAAGTAATACCAACTTGAGGAGGCATCAGTGAATATCTTTATAAGTAACAGTGGGTGTCTTTTTATGTATTTACCAATTCAAAACACCCCCCCTAGTGATATATCTTCTTAAAAATACAATTCCATTTCAAATTTGATAGTGCATATCAATTTTAGAGATTGGTAGTAACTGTCTTTTTACTGGCTGTCTTCCTCTCTTCTGAGAACTTTCTTATTAAATAGGAAAATATTATTGCCACTTTGAAAGTAACCGAAGTATCTTTTTAGATAATTATTTCAGTTTAATAAATAGAAAACAGTTTGGCAGAAAAAGCTGTTAAAGCATGATAGTTTTTACAAAATGAAAAATATTTTTTGTTTTATATTTCCTTCTTTAATTTGTATGTCAGTAATATTTAATTTCCTGCTTCTTCCTTAATACCATCTTAAAAAAAAGTTACATTTGTCCTTCTTTCTCACTACTTCCTTCCTAAAGGGCTAATTAAAAAAAAAAATCAATCATTGGAACAATGTCTTTCTAGTCTTTTCTCAAGATTCTATACCCAATTCTGTAGCTTGCTTCTTTCAATGATTAGTATCAGTAGGTGCAATTTGTTAGTACTTTTAGTGTTAAGACTTCTGCTATTGCCATATCACCTTGTCAAGATGTATAAGGCAAGCTTAGTGCTTTGTATTGCCCTTTAGGACTTGACAAATATGATGGGTTTTTTGAGTCTCTTGTCTTCACCTTCTTCAAACAAATGTAAGTTTTCAAAATGGTACAACTAAACTTTTTCAGTGACTGTGGGAAACAGTCAAGATGTGTAAATTACCATGCATTTAGTACTTGCAGTTATGACCTTGTTGCTACTTTCAGCACATTGATAGACATCCCAGCACTTTCTTAAGTCTGTCCTGGAAAGTTAAACATAACTTAATACAGTTGAACTGCTTGTTCCAGTTTTGTATTTTGAGTAGTGTTCCTTCTTCAGAAACCTTTTAATTTTGGTAGCTAATCAATAATAGCATGCTCAACTTGAGAATAAATTAACTCTATAGTTACACATTGTCAGTTACTTATGGACTAATTTACATTGGTTGGTGTATTTGAAGCAGGGTGCTGGTGAGGTGTTTACTGTCTTACAAGCCACATAGGAGGATGCTTCCTGCCCTTAAAACTAGAGCTTATTACTAAAACAAAGAATGCGTGCTGTACTAGAAGATGCATGCACAGGTAACCAATTTGAAGTACATGAGTAGTAGGTTAAGAACTTGAGGCTCCAGTAGAGCTGAAGTAGAGAGTACATTAAGCAATATTCTGCCCAAGTTGCTTAGGGCTGCCCACTAGTCTGATACATAACTTGGCAATATTTGCAATGACTTCTGTCAAGACTGCATATAAGCTAAATGTGTTTAAATTGCAGCTCTTCAATATGGTATTCGCACACATACCTGTGTATGGGGAAAAAAAAGTTGCAATCCTTCTACAAGGTCTCTGGATGCTACCGCTGTACAAACAGTATGTAAAATCCTACCCTGTTCATGACTTCTGTCAAGACTGCATATAAGCTAAATGTGTTTAAATTGCAGCTCTATAATATGGTATTCGCACACATACCTGTGTATGAAAAAAAAGTTGCAATCCTTCTACAAGGTCTCTGGATGCTACCGCTGTACAAACAGTATGTAACCTACCCTGTATGCTACCGCTGTACAAACAGTATGTAAAATCCTACCCTGTTCTTTTTTTTAAAAAAAAAAAAGGGAAAAAAAAACCTCACCACAAAACAGATGTATTTGGGAATGCTTTACAAGAATACCAGTGCTGATAAAACATGACAATGAACAAGTTCAATTAGATGTTCTTGTTGCTTGTTTTCACTGGCTGACTTGAGCTGAGTAGAACAGGTTATTTTGAAAGCATTCACACTAGAGCTGTTCTCTTGAAAGAGAAGAACCAACTAAGTCATGAAACAGGAGTCACAATTTTGTCAGTGTGGCTGACGGAAGTAAATTTTCTGCAAACTTCTTTTGAAGTGAATTTCAAATCTTGATTGTATGTTTAAATGCACAGGTTTTAATTCATTTGGTGTAAATATGATAGTTCAGAGACAATCTCTTTGGGAACAGGTGCTAAGTTATCACCACCCTAAAAAACTAAGAATATAAAATTGTGATGTACTAGGAGTATTCAAGCTAAGAACTGAACTGCAAGTGATCTTTCTATATTTGGAGAATGCCAAATACCTTTCTAAAGGTAAAGGTATTGTAAAAAAAAAAAATCCTTGGCACCTAATCTTCTCAATTCTGTGCAAGGTCAGACCAAGTTTCGATTAATTGGAGGTCAGGAGGAAGATGGCATACAACTCAGGATAGGTATAGAAAACAGCCTGGCAATTAAAATTCATCTAGTGGAAGTCCTGTACATCTAGTATATCAGGACTTCAGTAAGTCATTTAACCATTGCTCAAGAGATCACTCCTTCCTTCCCCTCCCCCTCCCCCCCCCTCTCCTCCCCTTTCTCCCCTCTCCTCTCCCCCCCCCTCCCCTCCT